CATCCAAATCATATGTAGGAAAGCCTTCTTCTCATCCTCCCCCTGCTCTTCCATGTCTGATCGCCGCCGAGCCGCGTTAACGAACCAATCGTACCGTTCTTCCAGGCTATCTTGGAAAGGAGCATCAGTCGTGATATCAATAGTTGCATCCTCGTTAAAAAAATCGGCTCTGGACTCCCATTGTGACCACCATGGATCAGGGAGCTTTCCCAAAACACTGACTTGGTCCTGAAGTATGCCTCCACCTAAGGTACTAAAGGGGCCCCCACTACCAATGATTTCAAATATGGTACATCCAAGGGTCCAAATTTCGCTGGGGAATGAAATATTCGTCGTTTTGTTTGTCAAGAAAGAAAATTTCAGGTGGAACAAGATGGGGGAGTGTACATGTATTAGTCCATCTTGTTTTACTAGGGTAGTAACTCGAATCAAAGTCAGAGAGCATGATGGGCAAATAGATAGAGATGATTTGATCAGACCGAATTCCAACTCTTGCAGGCTCAATGATGTGAGTAGAAACTTCTGCTGAGAGAGGTTTGCCATCAACTCGAACAATAGACTCAAGAATTGGATCATCAAATTTCTGATACAGTTGCAAAGGGTCTATCATTCAGTGAACATCAGTGGGAAGTCAAAGAAAGATATTACCGCAATGTATATCTGTAGGATTGATTAAACACTGTGTATATCTGGAACGATTATATACTCACCATCATGGATAATGCTTTGTCCATGTAAAAACTGGACGGCTAACACCAGATCTGCAGCAATAGCTCGCGCGATATGAAGATCCAGTAGTCCATGAAAGACCAAGGACTTTGATTGTGTCAAGCTACAACTAGCCGTTTTCATGACCAGGCAATTGTGAGCTCCATTGGGACTAATTTCAATGAAATTGTCCAGCAGTTGTCTGATCAATGGGTGTGGATGAAGATGTTTTAGAATATCTACTTCCTGAGACTTTGAGGCAGAATCAGTGGATTTTATTTTGATAGCAACTAACTCCTGTTGCTTCTGATCAGAAGCCAGTCATACTGTAGAGCTGCCGCCAAATCTGAGGTTCTGGACAATAGAGTAACGTCCATCACAGAGTTGATCACCAAGCTTTAATGGGTAAAAGCCGCCTGGACAGTACCTCTCTAACCATTCACAATCCTCAATGTATTTGTACTTAGAGGCAGTCTCAGAAGCTGCAGGGCTTTTGTCCATCTTGTGTCAAGAGTGTGAGGTGTGAAATGTTTTTAGAATAGTGGGTGTGCATTTCTCTTGAGAGAGATGCTTTGAGGGTATCAATGTTACTAATCTTCCTAACAAAACAATGGATGGGAAGTGACATCTCCATGTAAAGTGTAAAAGACACGAATTGAAGGGGATCATTTCATAACTGTCGGCCATAGAGTGGGAGTGGGTGACATTGTCGGAGAGAAGCCAACAGCTGGCGTGCCAACTGACAAATTGATCTCCGCGTTTATCGACTCCTCGACCATATTTTCTAACTAAGCAAGTAACTATGTATGAGTACCGAGACAAACAAGACAAACACAGCAAGGTATATTCTCATTCTACATTGATGTGTATCTGCAGAGCAATAAGCACTCTAACTCATAATGAATTAGTGATAACAGCAATCATAGGGCAAAGTACGTCCTTTGTCTCTTCATGGATCAATATATCCATTACATGTAAAGTAGCTTAGGTGATGACTATTTATTCTGTGTTTATTTTATCTCTATGTTTATTCATCTCTTATATCAAAACTTGCATTGTGAGAAGGAGGCGGAGGTTGATCATTCTTCAATCTACCACTATCCGGGGCTTCCCGTTGTTCCATAATCGGTTCGCCTTGTGGATTAAAAAAATTGTGATTGAGAAAAGAATTACATGAGCTGCCTTGCGAATTCCCTCAGCTAACAATTCATTTTATCATTTTCTTTTTGGTGTGCTTGCTAGTGTGTCTCGAGGCAAACGTCAAGCCTTTCACAATGGTTCAAAATCTCTCTCCCATCAATGACTGCGAAACAGAATCTTTTCAAATGGAATTTTACTTGCAATACAGATTATAGGGGAGGAGGATGCCTCTAGCATTGCTTGGCTCAGCCTACCCCTAACAGTGTGCTAGTTAGTGCTGACCCGGATTGAGCATGTCCATGTTACCCCTTCTTTTACTTCTTCATAGATCTGTTCCAAGAACATTTCACCTTCAATAGATGTCTCTTCTACAAATGTGAATAGAAGAAGCATCTTCTGGAAATTTTATACTCTACACCCTCAAGAGAGAATGGCCAACCTAGTCAAGTTCTACATCATGGGCACCATCCCTACTCGACGGCTCCCTCAATTGATGGCTTTGGCATATCAGACTGCAAATGATCTTCATCTTCACCCAAAAGCTGTTCTCATCTGGTATGGCTCATCTAAACCTTTGCCCATGAGAATATACTAATAGGTACTAGGTCGGATATTCACGATACGACCTCTATACTTGGCACATACCAGAAAGATCCAAAGGGTCTCCATCTTACCATCTGCTTCAAAGATGCTGAGCAACTCGCCAAACAACACGCATATCGCTAGTCATGGATATGTCACAGACAGATTAAAAAACTTTATTCACGAAGCAACACACACGCCTGAAAAACAGGATGGAACTAAGAAAAAGAACGGGGTTGATGTTTGGCCTGACGGTTTAAAATGTGTTGTTGAAGTGGCCTATGGGCAGGTGCCGAAGCAGGAAGAGATTCAAGTCGAGTAATTTGTATGATCCTCTATGAACTTGAAAATGTGTCAAACCTTTGTCATTAGGTTGTTTTAAGGTATCTTCTTACAATGCAAAAAGTGAATTGTCATCTTGTAGATATATTAAGGGCTCAGAAAGTTTAAGCTAGAAAGATTTATAAAGGCCACTTATTTCGACTCTCCATAAAATCCGAAAAAAGTGTGAGGCTTCTGGCTGATTCTGGCAAGGGTTTTGAAAAATTTATGGTTGAGTGGGTCCGGTTGCCAATGGTCTTGCTTTAGCGTCTAATTATAATACTCAGATTAATCTCGTAGCTACTGACAACCTCCAACTTCAACTTTGGAACATCACATTAAGACAGTATACATGATGGGCAAGAGAAAACGACCCAAGAAGAAGCCACTTACCCAGGAGGAAATATGGGACGATTCTGCACTGGTCCAATCATGGGACGATGCTGTGGAAGAATACAATGTATGAAACCCTTCATGCACGTGATGTAATGCCTTTCTAACGCGCTTTGTTTCACGCCAGCTCTATCACAGTATCCAAGCGAGGGGTGAGAGCGTAGATGAAGTTCTGAAAGCTGAAGATGCGAGGATCCGTGCTGAGGATGAGGCCGCATTTGGCGAACATGCAGCTGAAGGCCCACCACATGCTCACCCTGTGGCTGAGTCTGAATCTGTCGATGAGGAGGCCAATGATCAAGATATGGAAATGGAGGCAGGAACAGATTCTCACGATGCCCAGCAGGAGGCCTCTAGCGCCAGGCAAAACCCAGAAGCATATCGCACCGCTGGCGGAGGGTTCGCCGCCATGCCACAACTCGTTCGCA